TTTCGTCTCTCTCTCTCTCTCTCTCTCTCTCTCTCTCTCTCTCTCTCTCACATGCTCTTGCACTCCCTTTCTTTCTCTCTCTCTCTCTCACACAATATATCTCTCCTTTTCTCACTCCTCCTTTCCTCTCCCTCTCTCTCTCTCTTTCTCTGTCATTCTCTCACTCCCCGCACGCTTGCTCTCTCCATCATTATCGCTCTCGCCCTCTCTCTTTCGGTTGCTCTCGCTCGCCCGCTTTTGTTCTCTTATTTGCCATCTCACCCTCTCTCTTCCTCACGCCCCTCTCTATCTCTCGCTATATCTTTTTCACACCACTGAAAGATACGCGTGCTATATTTGTCACTAAACAATCTGCTAAACTATTTCGCTTGCTAAATAGCTGAGGTCTAAAAACTGAACTCAACGATAAAACACGACTTCGCATTTGACTAATGATGTACACATGGTAGCTAAACAATGGGATGGTAGTTATAGTGCTCCTGTCCCGTCCTCTCCTGTTCTAGGTTCCCTGTTCTGTTTTGTGTCTCCTGTCCTGTCCCGGGTCTCCTCTCCTGTTCTAGGTCTCCTGTCTTATCCTGGGTCCCTTGTCCTGTAACAACACCTGACAACATCAAAGGCAAAACGGCCACAATCACCCTTTAGAGGCTTTATAATACACAATTTTAACAGTGCGCGAAATTAACGCTATTTGAAGACGGCCGCCGGTTCAATTAACCACCTAAACCGCCGGTTCAACCTCCATATATAATCAGTCCACTTCGCCTATTCAAAATTTTGCCTATCTTGCCTTTTTATCAACAATATATTTATCAATTTCTTGATGTTTTTACTTAGTGACTACTAAGAAGTAAATCATGTTCCAGCAATTCCTGTAAAACAAGTAGAACTCCACCGATTATATATACATGTATATATAATTGTTACGGCCGAATTCAGTTTATTATAAATTTATTGTGACTGTATGGTGCTGCCACTAAACAGTGTAGTTTGTTGAAAGACGCGTAGCGAGTGGCTTACGAGCATGCGCGTTAAGCACTTCCCAGAAGCCAGTCAGGCAGGTACACGCGACAACCGCGAATCACGTATCAGTGTGCACGACATGTTCTTTATTAAGACAACAATTTCCATAGACACCCAGACATCTCAGCGATGTAAGTAACACATATAATAGTTAATACTTTAGTTTGTGATAAATTATTATAACGGTTTGCTTGCTACGCATGTAACACTCGTTGTAGCGTAATGTTTAACGCTTGGCGTATTTTTCTTTGTAATTTCAGTTAAAACCACACAACCACAGCCATGTACAGTAGAGAATAAAGAACAAATGTAAATAAGACTATGTGTGCGTATTTCTCGCTGAAAGAATTTTTTAAATCGACACCTAACGGCAGACAACGTAGCCGGACGGTTACATATAATATTACAAACGAATCTTCTAGACTAATGCTATCCCTAGCACACCATCACTATAGTGTGTGTCTAATCGGACGCAACATCATATAAATCTCGCGCGAACATCAATTTGCATCTTTGTTGGGCCGAATTTGGAATGATAACAGAGAAGATTGAGCGCATAGATATCATATAACAACGTGTGTTATATATGATACAACAGAGTTGTTTGCGCACATGCAGGGCGGGCGTGCGGTTTACTTGCAGATGAGCATTTGACCGGCATTTACGGGTAATTATCGGCAATAATAGGCGAAATAGAGTAGAGAAACATGGTTACAACTTTGGTAGTAAATGCATTTCGTGTTTATTTACCATTATTATTTTTAATTGAGACGTTCCAAGTGCATGTGGTTACAACAGTGTTAGAACAGTGTTACATGATATCAAGAGTAGATAATAACACAATGTGATAATAAGTCAAATGTAGATAATAACACACTACTCTTGATGATATCAGGAGTGTATCAATATTGATACACTCCTGATGATATCTATGGTTGGAACCCAAAGATGGAACAGCTAACCCAAGCCTTTTGATCATGTTGGCTGTTCCATCTTTGGTTCCAGCCAATCAAATCGCGCGCCGCTCATACGGCGTGGTGTGTACGTTAGTGACGGATACTCCGAGCCAAGAAGAAGGTGTGCACGATCGATCGAGGTAAGTCGAACGAAAATTACAAGTTAACCTCATAAATGTTAATCTACAAAAGTCCTAGGACTATAACGAAGACTATAATGTCATCCTGTGGTTTCTAACATAAATGCTCATCGGAGTACTACAGACTGCAGTACAGTGCAAATTGCAATGACCTCACGTGATTACCTAATGGGTGCATGAATGTTTGCTCGCGTTTTAGCCCGACCAGGCTCTCCGACTGTTACACGTCGTGACAGGGGCGGATGCAGGATTTTGTCTAGGGGGTGGTGCAGGTGGGAAAGGGCACTTTGAGATTTTGTTAGGGGCAACTGAAGCGGTGGGGGGTCGGGGGGGCCTCCCCCAGAAATTTTTTAAAAATCAGACTCCTTTTTATGCATTTTCAGAGTTCGCCTCATATGCATTTTTA